ACACACACAAAATCTTTATTTTTACCATATCTATAGTTCTCTCTGTATGAAAAAAGTAATTGCATGGTTCTATCTCTGTGAAATATATTAAGAAGATGAAAGTTTGTCCAGTATTTAACAAATATGATTTCAAATAGGAAGGTCTTGCCTGTGACTGTTTGTAAGCTACTTACAATATTCTCTCGCTTTTATGTATTTCATTTTTTAATAATTGCATACATTTTTAGCTAAGGTGTACAAGTTGAATTTGAATTTTAAACTCGTTAGAGCCTGTAACTGAAACAGCTCTTTTCTCCGCAGCCTCTTCTGAAGCAGTCTCCTTGGAGCAACCACCAGAGCAGTGGCTGGGGCACAGGAAGCATGTCCTGGGGAGCGATGCACGGCAGAGATCATCGGAGAGCTGGAAACATGGGGATTCCAGGAACTATGAACCAGATATCTCCACTGAAGAAACCCTTTTCTGGTAATGTCATAGCACCACCGAAATTTACCCGCTCTACTCCATCATTGACTCCAAAGTCTTGGATTGAAGATAATGTGTTCAGAACAGACAACAATAGTAATACACTCTTACCCTTACAGGTAAGAATGGTATGTAAATGGCTTTATTTCTAATGTTAACCTTTCAAACTAGAAAGTTGGGTGGTGGCAGCAGATAGCAATATAGTAAAATTAATGAAAAAATATGGTTCTACTTTTTAAGAATATATTTTAATTATCAACAGATAAAATACACAGGAAGAATTGAGTGTAAAAAATAACACAATGCAGAATAAGCTTTGAAAACAAGCTTTCTAAAAATGTAGAGAAACCTTTTATTTTTCTTAAATATAGATGGAAGCTTTTAATTAGCAGCTTCTTAAAAATGTCTACTTTTATTAATCTCTAGCAGACAATCAAAATTTGTTTTTCCTAAAATATAGCTAAGCTAAAATATTATATAACTGTAATACTCAAAAATTTTTCAATGATGAGCTGTCTGTATATTAGAATTTGTTTGGTACAACTGTGATTTTGGCAGAGTAATGTTAAAATATTAAGGCTTTTATATATCGAATTCAAATTTGGCTTCACTGCTTTGATGACTGTATTTGTGCAAATGTGGCCTAATACCTAAAGAGATTAGATATTATTTTCAGGCCTGTTAATAATTTTTTGAGGTCCCCTTATGACTATTTCAAATGAAATTTTATTTTCCCTAAAACTTGTAAAGGAGACAACAGAGATTTAAGACAGGAAGAACTTTGATTGTTTTTCTTGGTGGGTGGTTGGTATGGGGAGGAGAACTGCTCATTTCTGATGAAAACTTCTATGCTATTGAAGGTGAGATCTAGTTTGCAGTTGCCAGCTTGGGGCTCAGATTCACTCCAAGATAGTTGGTGCACTGCAGCCGGAACATCCAGAATAGACCAGGTAGGCTGCACAGTGTGTATTTTTCAGGATTTTGGCTAGGAGTTTAGTATTTACATTATGAGTAGGATTGATCATTAACAATTCAATTATATCTATTTGAGCATATGTCAATGGGCATTAAAGCAATTTATTTTTAAAAGATCACCTGATTTGCACTATTTGATATAAAAAGTCATTTTCAAATTTAAATCATTTGTAATTTTATAATTTTAAACTATAATATTTTTGAAAAGAAGACTTAATCATATACCCAAGAGCACCTGACTTTAAACATCAGTCAAACTAAACAGATTTATCTCCTTTCAGAATAATTTGCAATTAGGTACAAAGTCATATGTTTATTTAAGATCATGTTTTACAGAACTTTCCAGTGAGTTTTTGTCTTGAAATCTTCTGTATTTGTCTTGAAATATATATTTTTAAAAGCCCTGTCTTAAGTTTATTATTTTACTTCTGTAAAAACTTTGGAGTATAGTATTTATTTATTCTAAATTTTATTATTATGCTTTCAGCCTTCAAATCATGTATCTTTAAGAGCCTTGTAGTTGCAAAATGCTATCTATCTTCTTGTGGACTGAATTTGAATGTTTACTGGGTGGCAGGTGATGAGGATTATTATAGCACATTCAAAACTCAGTCTTTACCTATGAGAAGTCTTAGAGAAGCCAAGTTTGAGTTTAGACTTAACATTCTGTGAGTTAAGTGAATGAAACTGTTATCCTCAGCTAAGGCTCTTTCTCAGTCAATTTAACAGCAAGAGATAATTTTAAAAATAGACTATGTAAGCAGATTAATAATACATTTGTGAACATTCTGATGTAGAAGATTAGCCCAAACTTCAGTAATCAACCCTTAGCACTTATTTTAGACAAATCCTGCCTGTGTGGCACCATTGTCCTTCCAGTGTCTCCACTAAGAAATAGGAGTTATCTTGTGTAATTGGCATTTTTTATCTTATTAGTATGTTAACTACTAAGCTATTTCTACTATTTTTTTCACTCTGATCCAGCTAACTTTTCTTAGTGACATTTTATTTATGGTAACCCTTTTATATTGTTCAAATTAAATACTGAAATGTCAAGGAGATTGTATATTAGGAAAGAAAAATCATTGTAATTATTTTGAAAGTGGCAAAAAGGGCATGATTATTCTGTGTGTGTGTGTGTGTGTGTGTGTGCACGCAAAAGCAATAGGATATGTCTGGGGCCCGGGGGCAGGGCCAGATGCTGAGCAATTAGATTATTGAAATATTTTTAATTGATAGAGTTTAGCTAGAGATTAGACAGAGGTCATAACAAAAGGAGTTTTCAAACTGGCCTCTGGAATAGCCACCCGACAAGAATACCTGTCCTCCTAGTTTAACTTCAGTCATAACTCCTCTTTGATCAGATCTGTGGTTTTCTGTAAGTTTATTTTAAGGTGAAGGATTTTGGTGCTTACGGATGCATTTTGGTAGACCATTGAAATACTAACATTTCCTGTGGACTCTTAGGCATAGGTGCAATGAGATGAAATTGAAGACAGCAGTGGAAAGTGAACTAACTCAAGGGGAAGGTCTGCAACTTAGATCTTCTTCCTCTTCCTCTCGAAATCTATGACGTGGAATGAGACCAGATGATCTCACTGGGTCATGGTTTCCTTACTTCTAAGAGGAGAACCTTGAACTAGGTCAAGTGTTGGCCTTGTTCGCCAGCTTTTATACTTTTGTACTGTTTCACCCTGTTTCTGTGTTTCTCTCCTTTACTCCCTCATCCTAACCCTCTGGTTTTTTGTTTTTAGATTATCCAGGCATGGGTTCTTGCAGGGAAGCTATAAGGCAGTGATGTCAGGCAGCAGAAGTAGCAGTCTGTGACCTTCTTGCTAGTCTTAAAAGGAATGGCATCATCTCTTTTAAGTCCCTTCAGGGTTCTTATATAAAATTTGTTCTGTGTTTCCATCGTTCCATAAAAGGTTGAGGTATTTGAAGTTGAGATTCTTAAAAATACAGTAGCAGCTGCTACAAACTGAATTAGTATTTATAATGTTGAATCACAAACATTTTAAAGCAAAACTAAATTTAAAATTGAAATTATCAAAAATGAGCACTCAAATATCTGAGATCATTTTCATTTCTGACCTTTTAATACTTGTAACTTTGTTAACAAATGCAGTATTTTAAACCATTTAACTTTTCCCCTTTTTCTCAAATTAATTAGGTATAGAATATATTAGTTTATAGGAGGGAAATTTTAAGTCTTATGTTTGGATACTTCCAGCCTTAAGCAATATGGAGATCTGAACATGTAACTGAATTCAATAAATGGAAAAGAAATAGTTTGATAGATTAACTTTATCTAAGTAAAACTTTATAGTTGGAATTTCTTATTTTAAATAAGATTAATGGAAAATCTTCAAATGTAGAACTTTTAAAAAGCAAATGTAAGTTTGTACACACATTTCTGACTTTAAAGTGATTATCGGATATTTGTTAATTTATTTTAGACTGAGAATTTACTTTGAAACAGCATTAGCTAGTTGCTCTTGCAGGAAATCATACTTAAAAATATGATTTCTAAGTTACTCTAACAGAATTTTTAATCATATGTTAAGGTTGCAGTACTTTTATTCATTAATATTTATATTTTAAATCAAAGTAAATGCCCTTTTAACTGAGGTTATTATTCACAAATTTATATATGGCTCAGAAGTTTACTGTAAACAGAGCAACATCAAGCAACTATAATACAGTGTATAAATCCTGTATGTGTATTTGCCTGTCACCAATTGGGGGATCAGCAAAAAATTCAGTTCTAGAGTTTTGCTCTGTATCACACAAACTACCTTGAATTAATCAGAGATATTTTCTGCAAATACTTAATATACAAGCTATTACAATATTGTGGTAAATCACATTTTGGAGATCTTTCAGATAAGTATATCATTTGAGTCTTAATTTACGTGTGTTAGTCACTGTCTTGTCCCTGAAACACAGTGCCCAATGCCTGACGTGCACAGCTTAAAGGAGGAGAGGTTTATTTTGGCTCACAGTTTCAGGATTTCAGGCTGAAGCACAGGATCAGCACAGTGGAAGGGCCAGGCAGAAGAAAGTTGCTCAGGTCATGGCATCCAGATAGCGGAGCGACACGGAGCTGGAAAGGCCACACAACCTTCTGGGTCAGGTCCCAGACCCCGCTTGGGTGGCATCTTCCCACCAGACCCCTGACAGCAAGTCTGCTATAAGCCACCAGGATTCTGTCACCTTCCAACAGCCCTGCCTATGAGCACATGAGGCCTTTGGGGGACATCTAGTTGTGTAATATCACCTGACATAAAAGGAAGTAACAGTGGCCCAGTTTCAGTAGTTTTATCTAAGAAGGCACTCTATAGGTTGTGCTTCTTCAACCACATGAACTTGGGGAACATAAGTTTTCAGACTTGTACACTGAAAAGAAAGAAAATAGCCCTTATATGCATGCTTGAGTAGTGGGTGCTTTCTTATGTTCCTTTCCTGTGTTCAATTCTTTAATTGTACTTGAAATACAATTAGTGTAAGAAACATTCTCATGATAGTCCATATTAATACAGGTCAGTAATGGTGTGCTCATGGTTCCTTTAAAGGTGTCAAAGGACTTCTGTTTAGTTTTTAAACCATGGCAGTCTTCATATATTCTTATTTCAGCAGAATGCATAATTGTTTTATAGCCAGATTTATTTCTGTTTTCTTAGTCAGAATTCGATCCCCTAAAATTACTTAATGGCATTATTTGTGTACATGCCTATAAATTTTATTAAATTCAGAAGGTGATTTTAAGATATTATGACTTGTTGGCTCTAGGCTTTTTATGTTTTTTGCTTTAAAAATCATATGGGATACAGCTGATATTTAAGAAAGTATAACTAAGGTCATAGGTAAAATAGCTTTTCTGTCTTCTTAAAGTAGGAGCATTCAAAGATCTGAGATAAGAGTGAAAATTGGGACCTTAGCAATGTCCATCTCAGATTCATTTGGACACAAAGGTATTTAAAGTTAGTACAAGCAACTTTTTTGAGTAACCATTCTGAGTTGATTATACAGTGATGACTGGTATTTGTTGGATAGCTTCAACAAAACTCAAGAGTTTTCCCTTTCAGACCTTAGATATTGTCCATGGCCCATTGATAGTATAGATAGAATTTCTTCAATAAGTTTATTGCACTGTAGAGCAAGGTTAGATGCTCCTTGCAGTGAAAAGGGAAGGTGCATCCTGCCCTCCCCAGAAAAAGAAAGTCCTTTGAGAAATACCAGTTGGGTGATATTAAGGTCCTAGATTGAAAAAGATGAGCATAGAATAATTCTCTTCAGAATCATGAGCCTGAAAAGATAGTTCTGAAGTGTAATACGCACTCTTCATATTATTTCCAAGAATGTAGGGTAAGTGGAATATAGTTTATAAAGCATTTATAATATATTCTTAGAACCTACGTAATACATTATACCTTCAGAGGCTTTGCTTTTGCTTAATCAATGTGAACATTTTTATCATGACTGTTTATAATTCCATTTTAAATATATCTTGGCACTTTGAATGTAATGATAGTCTTCTCTTTAGTGATTGGAAATTTGCGGTTGATACCGAGGCCACATTAATATCCAGTGCTTTTCTCAGCTTAGTTAACATTTGGCTTTCTATTCTCGGGAGGATTTTCAGAAACTTCATAGTCCTTTATAATTACCATTTTAAAAGTATAGTCATTGCCCTGTTAGAACTCAACTTACACAGTTTTACAAAGTATTTTATGGTAGAAATAAAGTAGTCATATAATAGACATTTTGAGCTAGCTGTGTTCTATGTTCAGAAGGTTCCTAGCCTTAAACAATTTAGAAGTTTACTGGGAAATACTGGAAAATCCCATTAGTTGAACACAGTATAGTGGACACAGAGAAGATGGGAATATTCCTAAAATGGTAGGTCATTTTAGTGCAAAGCCATCCTCTTTTCTAGTTAAACTGTATTTCATTTATTGTTCTAGTGCTTTGAATCTTTCTGTAATTTTTAGAGTAGCTTGGGGCACCCTCTAGTGTGAGAGGGGTTATTTTGCAGAAGGTGAGACCAGAGCCCAAAGAGGGTCCACACTTAGAGCCTCAGGAAGCCCAGTTTGGTCCGCAGTGTGGTCTGCAGGCCAGCAGCAGCAGCGTCACCTGGGAACTCTGGCACTACTCCATGTCTGCAGGATCAAAGTCAGTTATATGTCTCTGTAATTGTGTTTACTGGATGTCCAGTCCACATAACTCTGAAGCATGCTCAGAGAACCAAGAAGCTATAATAGAGCAAGTTACTCTTGTTATTGATAAGTATATAATTCTTCAAGGGTCTTTCAGTAAAAATCAGTCAAGGAAACTCATAGTTAACTGGTGATAAAGATGGAATAAGAGCCTTCTGCCTAGCATTTTTTTTTTTTTTTGAGACAAGGTTTCCCTATGTAGTTCAGCCTTAAACTCACTATGTGGCCCAGGCTGGCCTCAAACTTGTGGTCCTCCTGTTTCAGCCTCCCAAGTGCTGGATTGCAAGGGTGCACCACCAGGCGCAGCTCTGTCCACCATTCTTTCCATCATTCAGTGTTACTTTTCATCCTTTTTAATTCCTTGACAGCACCTTGTTTAGTCTACAATACTGATTCAGGCACCCTAGCTTTATAAGGCTTATAATCCTAATTGAAACATCACACTAGAATCAATAAATGAGCATATTCTCAGGAAAATTTCTTAGGTTTTTTTCAGCCTTCCAAAGAACTGGTTCTGAATCTTCTGGATTGTGAACCCTTTAGAAAACTTACGAAAACTTTTCCTCTCGAAAAAAAAATATATATACATATACCCACTGGAATAGTACAGTGAATATAATTCCAGTGACTGATGCTTTTGAAGCACATGGGCCCATGTTAAGAAGTGCTTTGTTTTGATTTCTGTGCTGACTTTTTACCCATTTAATTTTCTGTTTCCTCCCTTTCTGTTTCCAGTGGTAATCATTTGTGAATTCAAAAGGCTTGTCCTTTCTCCCCATCGTGTACATTTATTTAAATGTGCATGCAAGCACACCCATGCCATGGGTGTGGGACTAGCACTGACCTATTTGGGAAAAGATTGCAGGCTCTTTAGAGGGCATGGGCCACACCTCGCTGTATTAGCTTTTCATGTATATTTTCTCACGTACATTGAGTATGTGTTGAACAGAATGCAGTGTAGGTTCGTGGGCAGTAAATAATCGAATTCTTTGTCATAAGCAAATTAAAGGGCTGAATAAATGGCTTCTGGCAATTCAAAGAAACTTCTGAGACTTAGTGAAGCAGAAAACTTAGTGAGCTGAGAGTGCTTTCACTGCTCCCTCCTCTACCTGCCCTCTTCTGCAGGAGGTGGGGGAGGGAGGACTGCAGCAGAGACCCACGTGGGAACATTTTGTGGACAGAGATGTGAATATAAATATTTGAAGCATTGGACTTTGTTCTGATATTAGTATTCGTGTTTTTGATCTTTACTATATAAGATATTTATGCATTCATTGTTAGGAAATTCAGATGACTCAGTCAAATGACATAAAGTGTCTGATAGATGTTTAAAGTATGGTGCAATTATGGAATTAAATTCTTTCCCCTTAGAGATTTACTCTCCAAATGCCAGTGTCTGTCTTTCTAGATATGAGAGAAAAATATAGAATTTAAATAAATAACATATATGCTTTGTCTGTATAAAATTTCAAGAATCTTTATAGAAAACGAAAATACCTTACTATATTTCACTAATATTGCCAATGAAATGAGATTACTTTTGATACTGTATTTCAGAGATAAATGTATTGAAAACATTGTCCCTGGTAAAAGATGTAGCTCCGGTGATCCTCAGTTGTTGGTGCTTTCTTGGAATACAAATTGATTAGTAATATCAAATCAATCAGATGTCCTATTATATAAGATAATTTAGATAGTACATTTAGATGAGTCTTTCTCTTTTCTTCCAGGATCGAAGTAGAATGTATGACAGTTTGAATATGCACTCTTTGGAAAATTCCCTTATCGATATTATGAGAGCAGAGCATGATCCACTTAAGGGTAGGTGACTTTAAAACAATTTTACATATATTCCAACCTGTCTGCTTATCTTACCAGTTGTAATAGAAAAGTAAACACTAAATAGCACCTGTGTCAACTAATAGTTATCTGAAGAAATTTACTTGTTTCTTATGTACATATTCTGTACACAGATCAAAAAACAATAATTTTACATTTCTTTATATAATATTTCTTATTGCCCTTTATGTTAATGTGAAAATCTAGCAAACTATATCAACTTGAGGAAAGAGAAAATTAGTTATCTACTGCTACAGAGCAAATCATCCTAAAACTTAGCAGCTTAAACAATAATAAATATTGCCTTACACCATTTCAGGGGATCAGGAATTTGGGAATAGCTTAACAGATTGTTTCTGGCTCAGAACTTCTCAAGAATCAAAACCATGAATTGCTTTATAAACTTTCTTCACTTTTAATTCTATAAATCCCTTTAAGAATTCTCTTAAATGATTCAGCCTGCAAATTCTAGAATTCCATATTGGCATCAAGGTGTTATGCAGCTGAATTGGTAACCGTGATCAGATATCTAACTCCTTTGTTTTCTTGATTTCACTTGTAAAAAACTTCCTTCTCGCTCTGATTCTTTTATTTTAAGAAGCTTGAGAAGCTGAGTGGTTACAGTCGGTGGTTAATGATAATTCCCCTTATAAATTCATACAGTTATAGTTCAGGCTTTTTTATTCTATCCAAAACTGAGCTTAGGTTTTCAGAATCTCTGTGTGGTCTCATTCTGCTGGCTGTAGTGCTGACAGTGCCAGTGGTGTGTGTCTGGGAGCCGCTGTTTTAAGAATGGACTCTGACAACTTATGATGAATTTCTTCTGTTTATCTCCTTGTCCAGAAAGAAAATTCTTAGAAATTCTAGTACAAGATAAATTAAGATTATTAATTGTTGCTGGTGGATAATGAAAATTTTTTAATTTTTGTTTCACCCAGTCTTTCTTTCAAAGACTTTTTTGGATACTGACTACTGCAATATGAATTAATTTGGATACTAATCGCTGCTCAGTTTTTCTTCTTCCTGGACTGAGTAATTATTAAAGTGAAGGATAATCTAGAGAGGGGACCTGAAAAAGGGAACGGAAACAGCAGAAGGAAAAGAGTAATTTTTATTTAATTCTGAAGTGAATTCAAACCTTTTTTTTTGTTAGAAAAATTACCATTGGCTGTGGGCAAAGGAAAAATGTACTCACCAGCAACTTGAAGCACCATGGGGCCGGGATTTAGCTCAGTGGTTCTGCTGCCTGCTTTGCAAGTTCAGGGTCCCAAGTTTGATCTCTGGTACCAAAATAAAAAAAGAAAAGAAAAAGCATCATGGTGACAACTTTGTTTTTCTTATTGACATATTTTTTCATTCCATGTGTATTATAGCAAAGTCAAAAGAAAAGAAAAAAAAATCTGAGAAACCTCCACATAAAGGAATAAGACTGGAGCGTCTTCAAATTCCCAGCATATATTCATCTAAAATTATCTTCACACCTGAGTGCTGCCACTTAAAAGTTTTTTCCCTTTTCTTACTAGTACAAATGCCACTGCTTGTTGTAGTACCATATTTTATATATGTTTGTGTGTATATTTTTTTCTCCTCCTTTCTCCCCCGCCACCTTTCCTTTGGGCTTGATCTCAGTGGATTATGCCAAAGGAGAACAGTGGCAAATGGAAAAAAGCAACCAGGTTAATCCATGAATTTGTTTGTCCTTCTCCCATCCCGTGTATCTTTGGGGTAGGACTTCACTTGCATCCAATCTGTTTCTCATATTTTCTTCCCTTTCAGAAAAAAAAATTTCTTCCCCAGAATAAAATAAACCTTATTTTACTTTTCAAAATATGTTTTAAAAACCAGCCATTTCCTTTATCTTTCTCATGGGCTTTGATGAAAAAAGAGAACTGAGTTGTGAGTCAGTTTTAAGAATGAGTTTCTTGTGTCTTTATATTAATGTAAGCATTTGTAGAAAGCTGTGTGAGCTTGAGTAAAGAGAAGTAATACTTGTCAGTTATTTGCTGCTGCAAAACAAATTCCCCCAAAATTCCACAGCTTAAATCAACAGTAAGCATTTACCATCTCACATGTGTTCTGTGGGTTGGAATTCGGTAGCAGTTTGACTGAGGAGCTTTCCTGAGCTGGCAGTCAACTGGCCAAGTCTGCATCCAGCTGAAAGCTTGACTGGGCTGGAGGGCTCCTTTCCATGAAGGCTCACTCAAAGGCAAAAATTGCTTATCCTCACCTGTAATGTATAAGGACAAAAATTTAGTTTCAGCTCATAAAAATTGACTTGAAAACTATGAGAAGTATAGTTTATATAACAGTTCTTGAAAAGCTCTGTCTCAGCAGGTCATAATGTCTTCACCTGCTGGCAAGTTATTGGAGGCTGTTGGCAGAACTTAGTTCATTGCCACCGGCCTCTCCACAGGACTGGTGAACTATTCTCACAACGTGGTTGTGAGTGACACAGCTCGGTGTGAGTGAGCGAGTGCCTCTGTGTCTTCTCTGACCTAGCCTGGGAAGTCTCATGCTGCCATTCCCACAGCATCCTGTAGCTGTGCAGCTCAGCTCTGCTACTTTGGAGATGTGCATGACAGCAGGCAAGGATGGTGGAGGCCCTCGTCGAGGCTGGCTGCTACGGAGCTGTAAATTCCCATTCACTGCTACTTTAAGTGTAAAGGAAAAGAGAAAGGAGTTAGGGTGAACATGTCACCAGGGAGAGAAGTAGTCAAGTACATATCTGGAATGCAGAGACAGTGGCAGATTACTGGTCTAGCTGAAAACTAAGTGATTGTGCTAATAGAAGCTCTCTGTCATCTTCTCTTACACTCATTTGTTTTCGTTTTCCTGCACCCCAGTGGTTTGTACAGTTTAGTAGGAAGCCTCCAGTGCTTAATATTTTGGTTTTTATGACCCATCAGAGTAGTCTAGAGGGGTCTAGTGTTGGAGTTGTACCGATGTGACGTTGTAACAGCCAACAGTGGTCCGGTGAATGCACTTTCTTTACTGAATGTGTCCTCCTTTCCACCGGATCCTGGCTATACATTTCATGAAACACACTCACATGGAGAAAGAGGGACAAACTTCACACAAGCACAGTATATGTGTAACTAGTGTTGGAAATCCTGTGGAGGGGGAGTAGAAGATACTTAGAGAAGCACCTCATGTAGACACCAAGTAAAGGAAGTTGAGACCTGAAGCCTGAGCAACACAATGATGGAGAGATACTGGGAGGAAAATGTCAGCTAGACCGAGGGATCAGCAGTGCAGAAGCCTGGCAGGTTTGTCATGTCTGAGGAACTGAAAGGAGGCTGTCTCGGCACAGCATGCCGAGGGCTGGCTGGTGCTGACTGGGTGTAACTTGGCTCAGTCGGCCCTGTCGTTCCTCTGGACCACGAACACTGACACACTGCTGTGCGTCCTTTCACAGGAGTGGCACTGACCCATCCACTTGATTTATTCTGCAGTGTTTTCCTTCAGTTAACACCTACTTTCTGATGACTGTCTTGATTCTAGACAAAATAGTTTTCAAAGAAAGAACAAATATGGAGTTTTTAAATGGTTAAAGAAAGTCACACTTTGCCAATTCAGAACTGTAATTTTGCAGTCGTAGATTTGTAAGCCTGTTTTAAATAATCCATGATGTCTTTATGTTTGTGTCAGATCATTGCCCCTCAAAAGAACAACACAGACCATTGTTAAGCTCTCCTCCCATCTGGCCCAATCTGTAAAAAGGCCTTTCTGTGTAAGCATTTTTACCAAAAATTGCTTATCCTCACCCCTTATATATAAGCACAAAAATTTAGTTTCTGCTATAGCAGTTCTTGAAAAGCTGTCTCATCAGGTCATACTGTCTTCACCTGTATACCCCAAACAATGAAAGGAAATTCAAGAAAAGGGATTTTGAGTATTATTTTATGCCAGTGAATGTTTAGGAGATGCCTTTTAAAAAAATTCTATTTGTATTTGTACATGTTAGCAGTACATAATGGTTAGATTTGGGGGGTACATGTGCACATAGAAGTAAGTGAATGCTTTTAGGACCTTTTGTGTAGTAGGACTCATTGAATTTGTAGGGTCATTTTGTTTTTTTGTTTGTTTTTCGGTTTTTTTTTTTTTGGTACCTGTGATCGAACATGGGCCTTTGCACTTGTGAGGCAGGCACTGAAACCACGGAGCTGAATTCCAGGCCCTTTAGGGTCGTTTTTATTAAGTACTGATTGCTAAACTCCTAAAACTCTAGAAGTAAGAACTACTTCTTATTTTAAGGACCCTAGCCCTTGAGAAAATAAGAAGTTATTTCTGTAAGGTGTTAAGTGGTTTTAGTAGTACCAAATTCGTTTCTTCCACTTTTCTGTTTTCTCTTAGTTTGAGATTGAAGTACGGAGTTAGGAAATAACTGCATAACTCTTTAATATCCTCTGGTGAAAACTTGTAGTTTGGAACTTCAGAACCTTTGAGCTGGACAGAGGTTCTCATCCTCTGAGAGCAGCCTAGCCTTGCAGATTCCTAGGCCCATACTCATAGATTGTGTATTGTATGTCATACTGTATACAGGAAACATGCACTAGTAAAGAATAAAAACTGGAAAAATAACATGCTTTGGAGAAACTCATACAATGGAGCAAGGGCTAACACATCTATGAAAAATTGGGGAAGTTTAATACATCTATTAAAATAGAGCAAAGTGTAAAATAAAACAAATACTATTGATATACTTGCAAGGAATTATCATTTCTTAAAAGGCACTACCTGTTCCTTCTGAGAGAGGGGTCCATTTCATAACACCTGCATTTGCTTTTCTTCAGCCCCCCCATATTTCCTAGAGTCAAATTTTTTGCATTTGTCAAAAATGAAAATATAGAAAAAAAGAGCATAGAGCCGGAGATTTAGTTCAGAGGTTCTGCCGCCTGCCTTGCAAGTGCAAGGACCTGAGTCAATCCCTGGTACAGAAAAAAAGGAACCTTTATAGACTGAGCATCCATAATCTCAAACTC